CTCGTGGCTCTTCGGCAGCCGCTTTTGTGACACCTGGGTGGCCTTTGACATTATGTGCTCCACCGCCTCCATCCTCCACCTGTGCATCATCAGCCTGGACCGGTACTGGGCCATCGCCAGCCCCTTTCGCTACGAGCGGAGGATGACGCAGCGCCTGGCCTGTGCCATGATAGCCGTAGCCTGGGCCCTCTCCATCCTCATCTCCTTCATCCCGGTGCAGCTACACTGGCATAAAGCCCAGGACAGGCGGCCTCCAAGGTCCTGGCTGCCTGGGACGCCCCGCTGTGACATCCGCCTGAACCGCATATACGCCATCACCTCCTCCCTTATCAGCTTCTACATCCCCGTGGCCATCATGATCATCACCTATACCCGCATCTACCGAATCGCCCAGGCCCAGATCCGCCGCATCTCCAGCCTCGAGCGAGCAGGGGGAAAGCACCCAGCTCTCGGCAAGGAGCCTGCCTCCTCCTTGCGGAGCTGTCTGCGCAAGGAGACCAAGGTGCTGCAGACCCTCTCCATCATCATGGGTGTCTTCGTTTGCTGCTGGCTGCCCTTCTTCCTGCTCAACTGCCTGCTGCCTTTCTGCCAGCCCGCACCGGAGAGCAGCCGCGAAGGGCAGTCGCCCTGTGTCAGCCAAACCATCTTCAACATCTTTGTGTGGTTTGGCTGGGCCAACTCCTCCGTGAACCCAGTGATCTATGCTTTCAATGCGGACTTCAGGCGGGCATTCAGCAGCCTGCTGGGCTGCCAGTGCTTCTGCTGTGGCACAGCCAGGTCCACTGTAGAGAGGGTCAACTTCAGCAATGAGCTGGTGTCCTATCACCATGACACCACCTGTCAGAAGGATGGAGCTGCCTCATCCTCGGTGCCACCCACCACTGTGGCTGCCTGGGTGCAGCCTGTGCCCCATGTGGTAAGCCTCCAAAGAGAAGGGAGCAGCGGGCAGCCGCCTGTGGAGGAAAGGCCTGTGACTCCTCATACACAGGCTGCTCTCAGCAGCAGCCCCAAGCGTCTTCGTGTGCCAGCCACTTTGCCATTTGATTGTGAGGCAGAGATATCCCTGGAAACAATTACCCCCTTTACAGGGCTTGGTGGAGGTGAAAGACCCCACCACCCTATTCCGGAGGGATAAGTGATGCCACATTCACGCGCAGCCATCCCAGAGCGCGGAGTTTGCTCAGCTTCCACGAAGGATACTCCTGTCCCCCAGCAAACAGTGTCCTGCACTAGAAGGATGAGAGCTTGCAGCTCTTACCCTAGGAAGGTGAGAAGCATAAAAAGTCTATTCCAAAAACCTAGCAACTACATATTAACATGTTCCCACTGTCACCTTCACCCCTTGCTCTCATTCACATTTCCCAAGCATTTGTTCACCTACCACTCTTCAATCAACAACTTATGTGATATTTTGTTGAGAATGAGTTAGAACAAAACAAAAACAGCTCACATAGCTTGAGAGTTTATAATGTCATCTCATGCAGACAGGTTAATCTTAGATTTAGCTACGTTTCTAAAAAGCACATTTTTTTCCTCACAGTTTCACATCATACAGTTGCACAGTCTTGGTCTTAAAGTTCTGTGTTTGGTTTCAATTCTGTGCTTATTTCAAGCTGAGGGTCTGGATTTAAACCTCTGAAACAGTGATTAGGCTCTTAAAAATTGCTCAGTTGAAACATCATCATCTTATGGTGAAGTCAAAAGAGTGCTCAAAACCTGGGAAAAATCAAGTTGCTTTTAGATAGGGCCCCAGGAGCAGTTACAGGTGCCTAACTTTGGTGTTCAGGCTTAATGATAGTGACCTAGGATCTTCCTCATCTTCAAATATTAGAAAATTTATTATTGTTTTAAGCTGAGGTTACAGTACAGCATCTGATAACTAGCAATACAACTCCAGAGCAATTTTAGCTGCTATAAACTAAGACTGCTGCAATCCTCCTTTTCTTCTGCTAGTTTAGGCAGCAGATCCTTCCAGAAAGTAATCTGGTCAAAAACAAACAAACAAACCTTACTGGCTGTAATCTCATCTTCAGGCAGGAAAGGATGCAAAACAAGCAAAATAAAATATGATACTAAAGTGCATGAGCAGAAGAATGATCTGGAAGATGCATGAAATAGTTCTCCTGATGTCGTGCATATTGTTAAAGCCTCAGGTGGAGCATGGAGGCCATCTGATGGCCCAGATCTCCATAAATACGTGGGATAACTGCAGATATGCCAGAGAACTACAAGAACAACCAGCAATACAGGAAATGAACCACAACAAAAGGCAGAACAAATTGGAGTTGGAGGGCTTAAAGGAGAGAAAAAATGGGAGAACACAGCAGCGCCTCACTATCCATTCTCTCTCCATTGCTTTGGAGTTCTGTTGCTGATCATTTAATACCATGCTCAACCAGCCACCATTGTTACCCCATTTTTCTGTCCTTCACCTGTGATTGAGTTGATTGGTCTTGATTCATTTAAAGGTAGGTGATGACAATGATGAAAATGCAACTGTTCAGAAAGAGGCAGCAAGAATGCGCACACTAAAAGAGTTACCTTGGCCATTCAGTCTCACAGATGGCACAGCTGAGATTTTTCAGGACAGTGATCCATTCTGGAAAGCCAGCTGCTGAAAAGCCAGACTAAAGGGCCAGCATTTCCTCCCAAAGATCCTGCTCCTGCCTCTCCATCCTCTGTCATATAGTCATATAGCCCTTGTGAATTTAAACTGCATATAGTACTTAAGTCCCTGCACATGTTCCCCCTCTATCCCCCGTTAATTCTATGGGAAAAAATTGCTTCACTATCCGTTGAATTGCTAACCATTGCGCTTCTCAGAAAAGCATCCTTGATGGGTGCTGGGGTGTGGCTGAAATCTGTTCTCCATGGCCAGGACTGGCAGGACAAGAAGTAATGGGCTTAACTGAAGTTGAGAAGACTGAGGTAAAGCACTGGAAAAACTTTCTAAGAGCATGCATAATTAAGCACTGCAATTGAGATTGCCTAGGGAGGTTACAAAGTCTCCATCAGGGAAAGTCTTTAAGAAGGTGTTACCAAACATCTGTGAGAAATGACACAGATGTTAATCCTGTCTTGCGGCAGAGTATAACAATCTCTTGAGATCCTTTCTAGTCCTGCTCCACTGTGACAACATGATCCCTTAAGGAAGCATGGAGGTTAAGTTGTTTGAATTCTTGTTTGCATGTGATCATCCTTAGCTGTTCTCTTGAAGGCAAACAGGCATACAGTTAAGAACTTCAAGATCACATTTGGATAGTTCCCTTTCTCTTAGTGATCATCCGTTTTTGTTAGCCTTTAACAGCTATCATTTCAGCATGCTTGATGTCTCACCTGGAGAGTAATCCTGAAATCAGTTCACATATACAAGATCTATATTTTTCATTTTGATTCCGTTTGACAATTTTTTAGGCTTTCTTATATGAAGCATACATGGATTCAGATGCCAAAGTGTTCATATTAATTGGCTGGAGGATTTTCCTTGCTACATTTTTTCATTCTTGTACAAACTGGAAACTGCTATGGTAGAGTCAGCATCTTTTATCTCCTCCAAAAAGCCAAAATTATATCCTAGAGCTATAAAAGACATCTCATCTCACCCCCTCCTCCTCCACACTAAAACCCATTCTGGGGAGATGCTGACACACCCGATAAAACACTGTCCTGAAGTGCAGCTCCCTCGCTGCCTGCTGTACTCTGCTTTCTGTTGCAAGAGCTTCAGCTCGCTCCATCCCTCAGAGGGTTACCTCTCCCTGCCCACACACATCTTCAGTCGTGTGGGCAAGCAGTCTTCTGGCAGTCAAGACCCCCCAAAGTGATTATTCACGATAGCTTTTTTTGAGTGTGTGTAAAGTCTCGTTATTAGGGATCAAAGCTGTTAATTAATGGAAGGGAAAGGTTTATCTTCTCACAAGATTTGCTCTGCATATGGGAGCTGTCTAGCTCAGGAAGTCTTCTGGACTTAACAGGTTTGATGATGAAAACTTAGCATATGACAAAGTGGGTTGCAGAAATTAAGCGATGAATATATGTAAATAATGTTTTCTCTAAAGAGTAATCAGAAATGCATGGTAGCTTTGGCTTATGAAACTATATTTGTGTTAAGAATGGAAAAAGCTATCTATTTATATCAGTTCTTGTGGCTACAGTTTAAATAAGGTTCACTAACAGGTCAGACTGTCCTTGAAAATGAAATGATATTTACTTCAAGAAGAAGAAAATCTGGCTTTGACTGAAGCTTTTAAAATGGATAATTTAAAAAAACGCTCTGTAAGTGATGCTAGAAAGAAGTGTTTGCACTTAATTTATAATGGTCATTACTGATATGCAGATGTTACATGTAACTATATTTTACAGCCGTAATATCTGTTGTGCAGCGTGATGTTCAAGGCTTCAATAAATTTTAGAAACTGTGCATTATAAATTGTTTGTACTCCTTTTAAGTGGCATATAACTGAAGGTACCTCATATTAAAGCTACTTTTGCACAGCCCTTCAGACTGTTAATGGCATCTTCTACTATTGTTGATTTAATAATATATAAATATTCATACTGTATGTATCATACTGTATTTTTATTTTCCTAAGCTATATAAGGCTCCTGAACATTAACCTGACTACAGAACAAGCAGTTCTGTGAACAGTAAATGAACGAAACCTATTTTCCTAAAAATTGTTTTCTAATGATTGACTGATTTCTAACTGACATTTTTCTCATGACAGGTAAGCCTGCTGTGTTAGATTAGATAAAAGGTTCAATTAATATTGTTAGGTTCCAGTCTGATGAGATATATTAAAATTATTACAAAAAGTCACAGATTTACTTCAACAGAAATTAAGAGGCAAAATTCTTTCCTCCTTACACCATTGCAATCACTCGAAAGAAATGCTTTCCAAAGTAAAACTTTGCCAGCATTTTGTTATCCATTTCTGGGTCACAACTTCCTTGACTTGGCAGAACAAAACGAATCACAAATGGTAAAGCTATTATTTTAGGGAGATCTACAAAGAGCTCTTCCTCTTTATAACTCAGATCATCAAATCATCATACTTCTTTATATGTCCACCACAATACATGTGAGGTATTTTGCTGACTAAAAGCAGTTTACTTCCATGCCTATTGGTTCCACATTTATAACATCATTAATGCCACAATGACTTAAAAATAGCTTTTAAATATCCTTCATGTCAGAACAGCCAAACCTCACAGAAACCCTTTCTAAACACTCTTATTAGCCAATGTCTAAACATCCTCATCAAGACGTGATCAAGACACGTTCCAGTTTAGCAGAGTACACATTGTAGGGCTTTATGATGCATACCAAATGCCTTCTCTGTTGAATTAGATAATTCCCACTCCCTTTTCTTCTGCCAATTTACAAAGTTCTCAGTTAACTAGTCCCCCCCACCTCCGAGCTCCTGTTTCTTTCTTTTACACAACTGTAATGAATACAAACTTGTAGTCCATTAAAAACTCTTGTGCATGCTGCTGCCCTGCTCAGTATTAGGTCACACATGAGAAGCAGTGATAAGGTCTCTGTACCCTGCTTGGGTGGCTGTAGAGATGTTTATCCACCTGAGACCTTTCTCCTGCTTTTGAATTTCTCTGAAATTATTCAGTGGATTTAAAAGTTAATCGTGGGAGTAGACAGGCATAGATATGTGCATGCCTGTGTGCATGTCTTGTTTTCTTAGGGAAGTGGGCTAAAAAGTAAACAGCTTTCTTCAAGGAAGAGGAGACTTAAGTCTGAAGGCAGAACTTCCTGGAGCTGGAAACGCTGCAGGCAGAGGACAAGAACTCTCTTCTCTGATCTATGGCCAAGACCAGTTCCTGCACCCCTGCATGGCAGAGCTGCCAGCAGAGATTCCAGGTGACATATCCGTAACCAGCTATCAGTGCGTTATTTTAAGAAGAAATGTAGTACCGCCAGTTACAAGCAGTACCACCGTAGGTGTAGCAAGAAGCCGTGGAAGAACAGGAAAGATGGACTTAAATATGGGTTTCTAGGGAAGCTTGGTTTCGCTTTCTGTGTAATAGTTAACAAATATTAACTATAATGCATGTACATCTTTGACATCATGCTTATGTTTTTGTATTTTTTGTTTACCGCTCTCTTTTGTTGCTTATCTGTTTGTTATCTTATTTATATAGGCCTTTATTTTGCATTATGCACAAACTCATTTGCTTTCAGAGAGTGCTGTTGACTTTAAGAAGCTTGTTACAGACACAGCACTGCTTCTACACACATTAATTCTGGGAACTAGAAGAGACTGCAAGTATATGGCTCTTGGCATGAGAAAACATAAAGCCCTTTGGACGTTTCTGCAATTCCCACCACAAAAACAGGAAGATAAATTCTCAGAGAAACTCCCCATTCCTAATATATTAAAACTAAAAAGACTAGATTTCCTCTCAAAAGCCACCTGTGATTAGAAGTCTACCCATATAGCTAACCTAGAGGGAAAACGTTCCATCTTCCCCACCTTTCTTTCTCCTTATAAATGCACAAAACATGCAGATATTGCAGAGGGCAAGAGAGCTTCCTGCTCTAATTCTTCCCCTCTCTCTTCCCATAACACATCCCTCCACCTTTGACTAATAAGTGAAGCAGGCAAAAGAAACACAATCAAAAGGAAACCAATAACAACAAAATGACAAATGATCTCACTATCTAAAGTCTAAGCAGCTGCTTCATAGGGTAGAAAAGAGCACAGTCGTGTGGATATTCAGCTTTATATTTATATAAGCTTTGTAATTCTTCCACTTGGGTGTTTTGAGGAGGAGCACATCATGAAAGGCCATGACAGTTATTTTAGGCTTTATATATTGCATAAAATATTTATTTCCAAGGCATCAGAGGAGATAGAAGTCTTCTAAAATTAGTCACCCCTCCTCCTCCCTTTATTACTTGCTAGATTGTTGTAATTTGTTTTGTTGAGCTGAATACAGACTAAAATAATATTGTTCTCTTCCATTTATTACTATATATTGGTATAAAGCTCCAGTCATAGGTATAAAATCTATCCTTACAAAGTCCATCCAAATATATGTACAAACTGAAAATGATTTACATACAGTTGTGATTTTAAAAATATTATGTACAGTTGCTGTGATGACAGTAAAACATAAATTATTGTTCATAATTTTATAATTATATTACGTGCAACTTTAACAAACGATCAATTCAGTGGAAGTACCAGCAAAGGAAGTCAAGATCATACCTTAACTGTATGTATTTTTTTCTTATGCTTCCAATACTGAACTGATGCCTTAAACTTTCAGTGAAACTTAAATTTCAGTTGGAAACAGCTGACCTAGGTAGCAAAAGAGAAATCTCTTTCACAACTCGGTTGTCATAAGCATCTGTTGTTTTGCTTTTGCCAAAAACATGCCTCTTGTGTTACACTTCAGACGATGCACCTACACGCACCATATTAAGTATATTTTAATCAGCTGAATATTTCTCAGTACAAATTCTCATTGTGAAGAATTATTTCTATATTCTTCATCAGCTCGGTTTTTTTCCTCACCTGGTGGACTGAGGTGGCACTCTGGATGCTACACACTATCAGTCCAGACCCCTGGGCTCTGATGTGCTTGAGTTGTTTCATTACCATGGTTACAGGACTCCCACCACATAACTCCTAACTTTCTTTAGCTCAATGTTAACATTTACCTCACTTTTCTGAATCCTCCTGCAGTTCTTGCTGCAAAGGGGCCAGAGGGTAGAAAAGGAGAACTGCTCTCTGCTGAGGCATTCGGATTTATCCCAGAAGCCCCAGGCTTACAAGTAACATCTAAACTCTTCCTTTTTTTCCTTTTTGGGGCAGACATCTTGCCACCTTGGACAGGTATCTTTTCTACAACCAAGAAAATATGAAGAGCCTGAAACTTTGCGTTCCAAAACCCTCTGCTGTTTAACTCAAAATGCTGTTAAAGGATAGTGTTGCTCTTCTGCCTGCATGGCCTGTGCCTGTCACACCTTGATATCTATAGCATATGTCCAAAGGAAAAAGGCAACAGCTGAAGAATCACACTAGAACAGGATTAAGAAGGTTAAATGAGAAGTTTTTCCAGTGCTGCTGGTGTAACTGCTTGCTAGCTATCCTCCATTTTACATTTATTCCAAAGTTTAATTCCTGCCTTCTGAATTTACATGACTTGGTACATGGCCTTTGCCTGAAGTCTTCAGAACTATAATGAGTCCCCGTCACTAGCGACTTGATTCCCTCCCCCTGGCTACTGGCTACTCCTGTGATTTTTAGTTCTCCTAAGAACTGATTTGGATTTATATCAGAGAAATAGCAAGCAAAAGACATGAAATACACTAAGAATTAAAAAAAAAAAATTGGCTTGAAAAAACTTCTGGTAAACCTGATCTGGATTTGTTATCCCTCCCCCATCCCCATCTGTCCCCAATCATCCAAGACATTTTAGAAAGTCCAATGAATGACATCTGGCCTACATCTGTATTTCATATATTTCTGAGTTATCTACCTATATGATAGGATAAGTGCCTTGCTGCAACTAGTGAAACGGCCAACAGTATTAAATGAAGTGTGGAAGTGAATGCAGGATCTGTACATGTGCATAGCCTCACATGAAGGAAGACGCTGGGGGAAAGATGCTGTTTCATGTCACCGTGAGGAACCTTATTCACATGAAAAGCTCCACTGGAATCAGTAGGTTTATCTTCATCAGCAAGAGAAGCAGAATTTCATCCTGTGCCAGTTTTATTTTAGTTAAGGTAGTGAGAAATTTGTAAAATCTGCAACAGCTGTTGCTAGGTTCCCCTTTTTCTTTCAAGATCATTTTCATAGAATTTTCTGCAGTTCTTCTTTTTCATATAATTGTAATTCATTCAGCTTGTTTATCTTTGCATCTGTCCTTGGTGAGAACAAGTCACTTTTTATCTTACTCTTTTCAAATTATATCTGAACTAACTGAATGCAGTTCATGCACGCTGTTTTATTGGCTCAAATCCTGCGTCACTTTTGCATGGAAAGTAACTGAACTCAGCTGAATGCTGCTTAAGCGAAAAGCTACTTTAATGTGAAAGCCTATATTTCTGATTTTTTCCATATGATTAATAAAAGGTATATCTAGCCTAGGCTAGGCAAAGTGAAAAAGAACAGGCATATCCTAACTCACAGCTCAAGAGGAACTCAAAGAGGGGTTCTCATTGTCTTTCAGGGTCATAGCTCCTAATAATGTTTTGGAGTATTTGGATTTTTTTTTCTGTTTTCCTACTTCTTTATTTCTGTTTTCTCACAGACATTCCCCAACAAGTGTCCTTTAATAACAGCTCTAGTTCTTGCACAAAACTTACAATGGCATCTTCTCCACAGCTATTCCACTAAAATTTGAGTTCTCTAGTTATGACACATAGCTACTTCATCTTAAACCTGTAAATGAGGATTATATTTAAGGAGGCTATATAAGAAAGAATTCTTGTATCACTCAAACCCCGCCAATAAAAATGTGCCAATGCA